TGTCCAGAAACGAAGTCGGAGTCGGGCTTTACCCAATGAGGACGATTTTGTGTTCCTGAGCGAGGATTATGGTCGTAATCGTGACAGGTATTGAATTATACAACCTCAGTCTATTGGAATTGCCTTGGATCTCGATTTATGGTATGATGTCTTAGTCTTTAAAATGTTCATCAACTGTTGTCTAACATGAGCAGAATTGGAGATGTCCAATGGATTTAAACCCTGAGTGGTGTTTTATGTACTATTGCCCCTGATTCTCTGAGATAGGTTGAAGACAGATATGTATTTCAAACTCATCTGGATTATGATGACCTTTGCAACATAACTACTTAAGAGTCTATCACACAATTTGTACCCTGAAAAGAACAACCAGTGCCCATCTTTATGGAATGATTCTCAAGTCTTGAGTTGATACAAAACTCTAGGTCAAAAATCACTTTCATGCTCCATTCCACACCCCATCTCCCACCCACTGCATGGTGAAAACCTTATTGTATGTATGTCTGAGGAATCCTGACAGACCCAGCTCTCAAGTCCTTTCTCAGAATTTCAACCTGACACTATCTTCCACTCTACCCTTCCAAAAAATACCTGAAAAATTCAGCGAAAATTCAAGCCAAATGCCCATCTTTCAACTCAATTTCGAATCATAAGTACCCAACCAATCACGTGTCCCATCAAACACAAGCGCAAACAACAAAATGCCAATCGCCCAATTGGGAAGTTGAGCCTCCTGCTCTTTCCTCCTTCCCCCCTTGGCTCTTCTTCGCTCATGGTTCCTCAACACACTGATGGTGAAGCGGTTATCATGCTTGCCTTCCAGCCAGATTACGTAAGCCGATCGTAATCAGTCAGCAAGCGGCAGGGGTTCGACTCCCCTTCAGTGTATTTTTGCTGGAGGATGGAGTTTTTGTTCTTTTTGTCATCTGGTTGAATGAGGCACAAGAGTATTATTCACTCCTCCCACAAGCGATACCCTCATGGCTCATGGTATTATCTAAATCGCTACCCTGATGGTGAAGCGGTTATAATTAAATCGAAATCCGAAATCAACCGCCTCGCAGGGTTTAACAGTTGAACCATTCTGTGGATGTCCTTACCTTCTTGTTCTGACTCGTCTAAAAATCGCATTTACGCGCCCCACTATGATTGTGTATTTCCCTGTAGCTCTAATCCTAATAATCGAAAGTTTCGATGAAAGCGAAAGATATCCACCCGTATCAAAGGTTCATTGTAATATCATATTTATTTTGTCTTCACTCTTTCTTCTCTTCATCGTGGAATGTAAAATGCGGTGGCGTTTGGGAGCCACTCAAATGATGTGTGCGGTGCATTCGTCCACGATACCTGACGGTATGATCTAAGTCGCTACCCTGATGGTGAAGCGGTTAAATAGTAAACTTCAACCTCTCCCTCACCTTCTTGTTTTGAGCCGTCTAAAATAATTTTTACGCGCTCTACAACATCGACTACGGCGTTTCTTTGGCCTGTATTTATTCATCGGCACATCCACTAGGACACGGTCTAAATCGCTACCCTGATGGTGAAGCGGTTACATGTTACATGTAAATCGCCATCTGTTTGATGTCTAAAACAGTGTTTACGCGCTCTACAGCATCGACTATGATTGTGTACGTTATTTTGTCCTTGGCCATTTCTGAAGTACTAATTCAAAGTTCATTTCCCAAATATTACCTTTACTTACCGTGTCTTCGCCCTTTCCTTTCTCTGAGTCCATCGTGCGAGCAAGAGTAAACCGCGGTAGCGATTGGCAGCTACTGGTTTCAACGCAAAAGCAATATAAGTGAGTATTAATACTGTACATTGATGCATGTATCCGTCCATCCTTGTATCCGTATCCGTTCCTACTGTGTAGACGAGTAAGTAATATAACATATCCTTCCCTTCTCTCTCCCCACTCCCGCTCCCCCACCTCCCTGCCCCCGCTCTCCCGCTCCCCACTCCCTCCCACACGCATGGTAACCAACCTCGCAGGAATATAAGGCTACCGCAACTCCGCCGGCCACTCGCTCCGCCTCCTCCACCGCCCGTCGGCATCGAAGCGCGGGTTGGGGACGTAGTGTAGGCCATCGCCGAGCGGGGCGCCGATGGGGACTACAAAATGGGGGTTAGTACGCTGCTGACACTGGGAGGTGGGGAGAGGGGAGGGGGGGGGAGGGGGAGAGAAGGGGCGGGGGGGAGGGGAGAGAAGGGGCGGGGGAGAGGGGAGGGGGGGAGGAGGGGAGAGAAGGGGCGGGGGAGAGGGGAGGGGGGAGGAGGGGGAGGGGGAGGGGGAGGGGGGAGTCCACCGTGCTCGACACACCACAGCCGGGCTTGACCAGACGGTGGGCGGAGGGAAAACTGTGGTCCAGAGTCCAGAGTCCAATGCTCGGAATCAAGACTCGAGTCCAAAATTCGAGGTCCAGGGCTGGTCCAATGCTCGGGGTCCAAGGCATGGAATCCAAGCTCGGTGTCCAGGACTCGGACTCTGGGGCTCAGAGCCAAGACTCGGTCCAATGCTCGGACTCCAGACGCACAGAGGAGGGGAGCGATCGCGTCGAGACCCCCGCCCCATCGCCCCCCCCTAGAAAAAAAAAAAAAAAAAAAAAAAAACCACTCACAAACCCACCCCCACACACTCCTCCCCATGACGTCCTCCCACCCCTTACGCGCAGATCCAGGCCACCACACGTTCCCCTCCGTGTCCGGCGCGCCCCACTCTGCGTCGTAGGCTTTTAGGGCGCGGCGTTTTGTGCTGTGCGTGGAAAGAGGGGGGGTTAGTGCATGCTTCGAGAGAGGGAGTGAGGAAGGTAAGAAGGAAGGAGAGAGGGAGGGAGGGAGGAGGTAGGACGGGGAAGGGGGTAGGGAGGTAGGTAGGGGAAAGGAAGTAAGAAAGTAGGGAGGAGGGAGGGAGGTATATGGGAACGAGCCCCGAAGAGCCCAAAGAGAACGGAGGTAGTAGGAAAGACGAAAGCACCACTCACCCAACCTCCCAACACCCAATCCCCGCGTCCGCCAGCCCCGCGCCCTCGCGCTCCTTCAGGCGCTGTACGCCTAGACTCTCCACCTTCAAAACGAATTACATCAGTTCCATTATTATTATCATTTTCATTCGCTATATAGCCTTTTATGGGAATATGTATACGCACCGTCGTCTGCGAAAGCAGTATAAACCGCGTGTGGGCCACTCCGAGCGAGAAGGTGAAGAGCGCGAAGAGAGCCGCTCTGCGGGTGCGTAGTACATATTAGTAGGGTTTTAAATTCGAGATCCACCAAAAAGGAATTTTTTTTAAAACGAAAGGAAGGCAGCAAAGGAGACTCACAGCGCCATCACTACCACCTCCTGCGGGTCTACGTCGGTCTCTCCCACCCCGCCCCCACCCCTGGCCCCACCCCCACCCACGTTGACGTTGAATGCGAGGAGCGAGAAAAACGTGTAGAGCGTGAATACGAGCGTGGCGAGGGAGAAGTTGAGGAAGAACTGGGGGGAGATTAGTGAGCCGGCGGGTCATAGCAAACCAGAGAAGGTAGAAGGAGAGGGAAAGAGTGTGAAGGATGGAAGGAAGGGGAGGAGGGCAAGGAGAGGGAGGAGGGGGAAGGGGACACAAACCTTATGGTTCCGCGCCCCGACACACTGCCCAATCCAAGGACAGTGGTGGTCGAATTTAAGGATACACTATACATTTGGTCAGCATCCATTCATTTCCAGGTATAGATTCGCTTCTGAGAACGTCGATCGACAGACGTCCAATAGAGATAACGCTAAGACAGAAAGAGAAACACGCACCGTCCCGCACGTCCGACAATGGTGAGCCCTATAGGGTTTCACGATCGAGCAGCGCGAGCACCAACGGTGCGGCGGCAGCAGCGGTGCCGTCGGGGGGAAGCGACCACGCGGGATACGCCCCTCCCTATCCCTGCCCCCGTCCCTATCCCTCTCGTCCCTCCGCCTCCCGCGACTTCCGCGAGAGGACTTCCGGCGCGGGGGCGGGGCACGGGTGCGGGTGCGTGCCCATTCCCATTCGCCATGGACGTCTCGGGAACGGACCCGTTAGGAGCACCTGGGACGTGCGCAGGAGGTGGCGCCGCGATCGCGAGCTCCTCGTACGACGGCCCGCCGATGCGCCCCGTCTCGATGTCCGTGAGCGCGGCCGCACGACTGTCGTACGATTCTGCACTGTCGTATCCGTATGGGTCCTGCGCGGCGTCCCACTGCGCGCGCGGGAAGAGAGGCTGCGGTGTTTTTGGTACGTACTGGTACGTGCGGCGTGTTAAATACGATGAGGTCAAGAAAGGGGAGCACGCACGTCGCAGGCGTTCCCCGGGGGCGTGAGGACTACCTGTAGTTGGATAAGACACAGAAATTGAAAGGAGTATAATGAATACTTTAATATATGCCCAGACCATCCACATATACAACACGCTCCAGCCCGCGAGTAATCCGACTACCGGTAAGACGATCGTCAGCGATCCCCACATCGAGTAGAAAAAAAAATAACACTTACTTCCCGCGGGCCGCCGACCGCCATGCATGAGGCGCACAGAGAACCGTCCCGCATAGACGTACCCAGTGTAGCCCATGATACCGAAGACGACAACGACCATGAGCTTGCGCACGGCCCACGGCTGCGGCTTGCGCTCGCGCCGCTCGCGGGCCGCGTACCGGGCCTCGGTTACGGTGCCACAGAATGTGGGCTTGTCGAGGGCGAGCTTGTCGTCTGGGGACGCCGCATTCCTAGACGGCATTGAGGAGAGGGACAAGACTGATTACAAACTCGGATGACGCAATGACACCGCCACAGGTGGCCACAAAATTAAAAGATGCCGGGTGCCGGCGGGAATTCCCGATCGCTTGTAAGAAGTTGAACCGAACGTTGAACTGGAGTTGAACGCGTCGAGAGTACTGAATTTTCTTTGCAGAAATTAATTTTTTTCTCCTGCGGGCGCGCTTTGATTTTCTGAGCGCTTGTTCTCGCCAACAGGCGCCGAGTCACCAATTAAATCTTGGGCCTCTACATGAAGAACACCAATTAGTGGCGTATTCTGTGATTGTTCAGGAGATGGAGCACTCCCAGCACGCACGCAGCGGCTGGACTGATGGGGCGGACACTGTCGGTCACCGATGGGAAGACACGATTTCTCGTTCCCGTCAGTCCAGCCAGGAGTTCTGACTAGGTCTTTTAACATTAACTGTAAGTAGTCACCTGCTCGTTGCCGCATAAGGCCCCATCTTATAATTAGCTTGATCAAAATCTAGACATGCGCCGCGTAATCGAGAGCAGGGGCAAGACATGGCTTCCGAGAGCGGCAATTACAGGTGGGGTCGAAATGAACGGAAATCCAAAACAGACCATCATTAACTCGACTGCTACTTCCAAAGGAGTTGTTTATTTCTTTCCAGGGCTTCGCATTTGCGAGTTGCGAGGCAGGATTTTTGGTCCGCAATGAGGGAGGGTCCCAGAGGGAGAGGATAACCGGTTTACTGAGGACAAGGATGTAGCCAAAATATCCTCAAGAGGGCGACATTTGCAAAAAGTCGACGTCACTTACCAGTTCAATGACCTGCCCGTGGCGGCAGGTCATCACAAAAATGGTGCTTGCATTGTAGCGCTTGGGGTTGGCCTTCCACTTGGTCTCATTCGCCGCATCCCATGACTCCTGGCAGGCATCGATCACCTCTTGCGGCACAGAGGGCTTCGCCTTGGCGGCAGGACATTTCTTTGCTGCTTTGAGCCTCTGGCCAACTGCGTCTACTTTGTGCTTGGGGATGAAATAGCTGGGGTCGTATGAAATGGGACCGTCGCCTGCCTTCCGCAAGTGGCGGTAGCTGAAACACCCATCCGCACCAAATTGCACATCCCCCCCTCTGAGCAGCAATGAGTACAAGG